TATATCAATCTTAATCTTTTTTATTTAAAAATTTTGTTATCTTTTATTTGAATTTCCATTTTGCAGTTCAAATCTGAATAGTTATATTTTTATTTTTGTATATTTTCTTCATCTCTATTTTTTTGTTATTCATATATAAATAGTTATCTTTTTATTTTAAAATTAAAAAGATTAAGCTGAAATATATGGGAATTCTAGAACAAACTCCCAAAATGTAAATATAGATGGTCAAAAAATTTATCATCTTTTTGGGATTTAGATTAAAAAGTTTATCATCTTTTTGGGATTTATATCTCAATCTTAATATTTTTTTATTTAAATGTTTTTTTATATTTTATTAAAATTTTTATTATATTTAAAATTTATATGGATAATTAATTAATGATTTTAAAAGATAAAATATTAAGTTCAACATGAAAACAAATTTTAAAAAGATTAAGCCGAAATATGTGGGAATTCTACAACAAACTCACATAAGGTAAATATAAATCATTAAAAAATTTATCATATTTTTGGAATTTATATCTCAATCTTAATATTTTTTATTTAAATATTTTTTTATCTTTTATTTGAATTTTTATTTTTCAATTCAAATCTAAAAATAGTTATATTTTTTTGTCATACATATTTTTATCTCTATTTTTTTTGTTGTTCGTATATAAATAATTATCTTTTTTATTTTAAAATTAATTGACTTTCTTTATTTTAATATTTTTTAATTGTTCATATATAAAATAGTTAACTTTTTATTTTTAAAATTAATTGACTCGTAATATTTTTTATTTAGTTATTTTTTAACAGTAATGCTAGGAATCATGAAAAAATATCATAAAAATGATCATAAATGATTCTACCTTTTAGATTACCACACAAATAAAACACCACACACAATCAAAGGAAGAAAGATTTTCATAATGCATTTTATGATACTTTTTTCATGATCCCTAGTATTATTCATTTTTTAATCTTTTATTTGGCTCTTTATATTATTGGTTAAAATTTGAATAGTTTCTTTTTATTTTATTTTTTATATTTTTATGTCTACTTCTCTGTTGTTCATATCTAAATATTTGTTGTTTATATCTAAGTAGTTATCATTTTATTTAAATATATATAATCATTTTAGCTTTTGAGATTTAGATAATTGACATATGATTAAAATTAGGAAAGTGGAGGAAGACTTGAGAGGTGACACGTAGGAGAGAGAATAGAAAGTTTAGTATAAGAGTTTGGAGAATTTTCATACTCCAATACATTGCTTATATCTTTTGGGATTTTGATTAAATAGTTTCATCTTTTTGAGATTTATATTCAATCTTAATATTTTTATTTAAATGTTTTTATATTTTATTTAAATTTTATTACATTTAAATTTATATGGATAATTAATAATGATTTTAAAAGATAAATATTAAGTTCAACTTGAAGATAAATTTTAAAAAGATTAAACCAAAATATATGGGAATTTTCCAACAAACTCACATAAGGTAAATATAGATTGTTAAAAAATTTATCATATTTTTGGGATTTATATCTCAATCTTAATTTTTTTATTTAAAATTTTTTTATCTTTTATTTGAATTTTTATTTTTCAATTCAAATCTAGTTATATATATTTTTGTATATTTTTTTATCTCTATTTTTTTGTTGTTCATATATAAATAATTATATTTTTATTTTAAAAATTATTTGACTTTTTTTTATTTAAATATTTTTTAATTGTTCAAATATAAATAGTTAACTTTTTATTTTTAAAATTAATTGACTCATAATATTTTTTATTTAGTTACTTTTTAATTTTTTATTTGGCTCTTTATATTATTGGTTGAAATTTCAATAGTTATCCTTTTATTTTATTTTTTTATATTTTTATCTCTACTTCTTTGTTGTTCATATCTAAATATTTGTTGTTTATATCTAAGTAGTTATCATTTTATTTAAATATATATAATCATTTTGGTTTTTGAGATTTAGATAATTGACATATGATTAAAAATTAGGAAAAGTGGGAGGGAAGACTTGAGACGTGACACGTACGAGTGAGAATTCGTAAGAGTTTAATATTAAGAGTTTTGAGAATTGTCATACTCCAATACATTTGTTGTTTATATCTAAGTAGTTATCATTTTATTTAAATATATATAATCATTTTGGTTTTTGAGATTTAGATAATTGACATATGATTAAAAATTAGGAAAAGTGGGAGGGAAGACTTGAGACGTGACACGTACGAGTGAGAATTCGTAAGAGTTTAATATTAAGAGTTTTGAGAATTGTCATACTCCAATACATTTGTTGTTTATATCTAAGTAGTTATCATTTTATTTAAATATATATAATCATTTTAGCTTTTGAGATTTAGATAATTGACATATGATTAAAAATTAGGAAAAGTGGGAGGGAAGACTTGAGACGTGACACGTACGAGTGAGAATTCGTAAGAGTTTAATATTAAGAGTTTTGAGAATTGTCATACTCCATCTAAATATTTGTTTATATCTAAGTAGTTATCATTTTATTTAAATATATATAATCATTTTGGTTTTTGAGATTTAGATAATTGACATATGATTAAAAATTAGGAAAAGTGGGAGGGAAGACTTGAGACGTGACACGTACGAGTGAGAATTCGTAAGAGTTTAATATTAAGAGTTTTGAGAATTGTCATACTCCAATACATTTGTTGTTTATATCTAAGTAGTTATCATTTTATTTAAATATATATAATTCTTTTGGCTTTTAAGATTTAGATAATTGACATATGATTAAAAATTAAGAAAAGTGGGAGGAGAGACTAGAGAGGTGACATGTAGGGGAGAGAATTCGTAAGAGTTTAGTATTAAAAGTTTGGAGAATTCTCATACTCCAATATATTTGCTTATATATATAGTATAGAGTATAGATAGATAGATAGATAGATAAATAGATATAAATATTTTTTTTGACCTATATATAAATATAATTAGAAATGCTATTAGATTAAAAATTAAGATAAAAGAGCTTTGAAATTAATTTATAAAATTAAAAATATTTTATGTTAATATGTGATTAGTAGGGATGGATGCGGGTCGGTTGTGGCCACAGAACCTCCAATCCACCATTCGTTCGCCAAATTGGCAGATTGGAGAAAATCAATCCGCATCCGTCCACCAATCGAGCGGATGTGGATTGAGCGGATTGGTAGATAGATGCGAATCAGTTTGGCGGTTTAAAATTTTATAAATTTTCAACATAATTCAACTTGTGCACTTCCTCAAAAAAAAAAAGAAGAGTATTACAGGCAATGACTTAAAAAAGTATTACAATCACTGCATGTTTCATCTAAAGAAAGAAAATTTGTAACTTTAGAATATTAAAATCACTATATGCCTCATTCACATATCACAATCATAGCATGCCTCATCCATATAAAACTTCTAAAACCATGAACAGAGTAATAGTAGAAATAGTATGCCTCTGTATTATTATATCTATATCTGTTTTTGAAAATAAAAATCAACCGGTATATATCATCTTTTTTATTTATTATTTTTAGAGTTAGATTTAAAAATCAAAAAATATAGATAAATAATACATTTATTTTCTTTAATTCAAAAAATATATTCAAGTTAAAAACTCTTTTTCAATAGAATATTTAAACTCTTTTTTAATTGAAAACACAAACAAAATATTTAAATAAATTGAAAACACAAAGTTTTACAAATTACTAGGTATGCTCGCAGTTTGACGGTTCAGTTGCGGCCAAAGGAACCTCAAACCCGTCATTTGTCCAAAACTACACGGATTGAAAAAAATCAATTCGCAACCGTCCACTCGTTCTCACGTGAAAAATGCGGCAGATCTGTTCAGTTCGATCGGTTTGGACGGATCGATATATCCGTTGCTCACCTCTAGTGATTAGAATTAAAGTTAATAATAGAAGAGGGGAGAGAGAGAGAGAGAGAATAGAGGTATTGAGGTTATTTTTCACATACCATTAACGATATTAATATTACATTTTAATCAAAAATCATACGAAATTATTTGAAAAATTTACGTATAAGTTTTAATAGGTGAAACTTTTTTTTTAAAATAGATTTCACAATAATTAATGACGTTTTTCATAAAACACTTTTAAAAAAGGTTAATAATTGTTAATTTTCAGTGACAGTTTAAAAATTTTATCACAAAAGATGTCACTAATTATAAGTTTTAGCGACAGTTCAAAAGAATTGCCACAAAAAAATTTCATTAATTTTAACTTTTAGCGACAGGTTGAAAAAATCGTAACAGAAAAATTACTAATTGTTAATTTTTAGCGACATGCAAAAAATTGTTAAAAAAAAAAATATTTTTAGCGACGATTTTATTAGGATTCATTTTCAATAAGAGTTTGTGAGAATTAAGTCCGACTATTAAGATCTATTGGTAGTTTATCCAAGTCTTTTTTGGCTATTTTTGAAAGACAAAGGGTGAAGTACTTTAGAGACAAATTGGGGCAAAATCCTCGTTTGTTGGCTGATTAAGTTGGATGAGAATGTCAGTGAAATGATGGTTAGTGAAGAGATTATCAATGTGAAGATTAAGGTCTCGTTTGTCAACTATATATTTTAGTTAAAAAGTTAAAAAGTCACTATAAGTTGTCACATCACTCTCTCTATTTTTTTGTACATTATTTTGTAGAAAGTCAAAAAGTTACTAAAATAGCCTATTCCCAAATAAGACTTAAGTAAAAGTGTATTTGTTTTGATGATAGTATGAAAGATGGTTAATGATGAGATTATTAAATTACTTTTATATGATATTTAAAAAATTAAAACAAATATTAAAATAAACCGGTGTAATTAGAATAAAAAAAATGCATTGTTTCATACGTTCGGACGGATGACTCAATTCGCTCACTATTTTCCTAATTACACCTCCTACCTAGCAAAGTTAATCCCCAAACTGAAGAGAATTACTAGAGAATTACTAAGCCTATTAGACGATCAATCTGCCCTTTTATTTCACTTTCAAACATGCTGTGATTGGGATTCACAAGCATAATAGTGTAATTTGGCCACTCAAACCGCGAAACGAGAGTCAAGCTCAACAAGATCGAAGATGGACCATCCATGGCGTCATCGACCTCCACACCCTCCCTCCTTCAATCCAAACCCTAATGTTCAACCCCACATCCCTCACCCCTTCTACGATCCTTTTATCGATCATCATGGCATTCCCGGCAATCTCCACCGTCCGTTTTCCGATCCTCGGCCTTGGCTTCGAAACCCTAGCTTGGAGTACGGCCAGTTCCATGGGGGTGTTGGATTTAAGAGGATGAGAGATGATGAGATTGATGCTAGATCGTCGAGAATTTCCTCCGAGGATGAGCGTAGATTGAAGTTGATTCGCGATCATGGTGTTGTATCTAGTGGTTCATCGCAAGGTATGGATTTTAATCGCCAAACAAATGAATTTGTTGAAGAAAACTCGGTTTTCGATAGGCATTTTGGGAATGTTGATGGTTTAGATGAATTGAGAGTATGTAGAAATGATATGCCATTAAAATTACAAAGTAATTTCGATAATTTTGATAGGAAAGGGACATCTTTTCACCCAAATAATTATAGAGAGGAACATGGTTTAGCCTTTGGCCAACAGAATATGCATAGTTATAGTAAGGAAGAAATTGGGCATTCTCGATATAGTCAAGGCGAGGATTGTTTGCAGGCTAATGGACATTCGACTAATGTCGAGCAGGGTCGACAAAGTCAAGATGTGGCAACTCTTTATGGCGAAGGACGAGTTCTGCAGAATTTGGGTTCAGGTGGCAGTTATTTATCTGCTTCACAGAAGGGTGATTTGAATGATCGGTTACATAATAATAGAAACTATCATTCTCATCCAACTAGTTGGCAGGGGTGGTCTGCTTCAAGTGCACCGCACCATGAACATGAACAAAGTAATTTTGCAATGGAGAACCGCAATAGTAATCGGCATATGTCCCAACCATATGCAATGCAACACCATATGCAGCCAAATCATGATTTTTATTTCCATGAAAATCATGATGGCAATCAGGATACAGTTGGGCATCAGAATATGCCCCTAGCATCCCAATATGGTTCACGGAATCTTAACAAACAAGGTGGTTATGTATCAGTTCCCGCTGGTGATAGTAGTATTGTCTCTGAAAATATAACTCAGATGCAAACTTCTGGAGTATTTAATGTCCAGCCTCCTCTTCCTATTTCTCCACCGCCACCAATTACAGTGGGATCTGCAGGGCACCCATTACCAGCCCCCAAAACATCATCTTTATTGTTCCCAATTCCTGTTAGTTCCACAGCTACCATACCTTCATCATATGCACCAATTCAAGAAGCCCACTCATTGGCACAACCCTATCTTCTTCATAAATCACATCTCCATGCTTCAACTGGCTTTGCTACTGAGGTATGATGACAAAGTGTTTAACTTCTTTTTATTTTCTTTTGCATCATTTATGCAGTGGCACTTCTCATGGTTTGTTATGCTCTTTTTTTATGAAAATAAAAATAGAAGAGTATTTTTTTTTGAGATGAATTGCGGTTCTGCACCATTAAAAACCTGTTGTTTTGTACTCGTAATTTTTCGGAAGATGATTACCTTATTTACTAGGGGAAAATTACACTTTGATTTGGCCCCAAAACACAAATCCCATGTGGTTCAAAAGTGAACACATAATCCCCTTATGGTTTGTGATGTGTAATATGGACAGAATCTGTTAGTCTAGGAAGCGTGGACATAGAAACCGACATGGTGGTTTTGAGAAAAATCAAGATACAGACAAGGTGATTTGGATTCAATTTGGGAGAGATTGTCTCATTTGGCTTCATTTTGGGCTCACATCTCTCCGTTGTTTAAAGTGATTCTGCTGTTTTTGATTTCCTAAGATTGGAAAGCTGTTTGTGAACCTTGATTTCTTTCCTTTGTTATATTTTTCAGCGTGTTTTTTCACATTGTGTAAGAGGACATCTTGTTCTCTCCTTGTACCTCTTTTTTCATTTTAATGAATGATGTTGTTGGTAAAAAATAAAAAAAAAAAGTTTTGTTCACCCCGTAAGATCAACATCACAATCAAGTTTGTATATTTTTATTTTCTGTGTATTTAATAATACACTCATAAACAACTAAAAATAATGAAAAACTAAAACTAATTTAACAACATGAAGAAATCTCTCAATTTATTATTTAAGTTTTATTCAATATAGAAAATATTATCATATCAATTATAAACCATTACATCTGAGTTGTTTGCTTTCATCGACATTAGAAATTGTGGGTTTTCTACTAGCACAAGTAGAAGAAGATAAGTTTTCCTATAACCATTACAATTTACAAGTAAAAATGAAAAATTAGCAATTTCAACAGTCAAACATTAAATTAGAATGACAACTGAACAACTTCAACAGCCTGACAATAATTAAAAAATTAAAAAAGAGAACACTACTTGAAGTATTCATAACAGCGTGGCATTATACAAGTTAAAGTATCTATAACAGTGTGGCACTGTACTTTACCCCTTTTACTATATCCCTGTCATTGGATAGCTGGCAACTCTACCATTTCAGTCAATAGGCGATTGGGTAGGTGTTCTATGAAGGGGGAGGGAGAGGGTTATGTCTTACAATCTGTTTTAGCAAATAGTATGTGAATTCCTGGTTAGAAAACAGAGTAGCTTGCTGGAATAGGTTGCTTAAGTTGCGGATTAGCTTGCCTAGCCTGATCACAAAAACAGTGAAAGAGACAAAGTTGAGTAAGTACCCTTCCAAGTTAAATTCATGTAAAGAATGTTATGATTTCAATTTTAGGAAGCCATAAAGAATGCACCCAAGCATTAAGAAATAAAAATTAGAATAGTTTCCAAAGACATAATAAATAATAAATGTAAAAATGTTCTCGGAAATCCCAAAAAAATAATAATTGGTTCTCACAAAATTCATTTGAGAATGGAATCAAATGTTGAACTAGTCTCAACAGAAACAAATTCAATAAAAGACGTCAATAGTTGTGAATCATAATAGACTACTCTTTTTTGCATAGGTAGCTGTCTAGTAATATAGGCTTTCATATTTTCTGTAACAAAAGTTCATCAACACTTGCTCAAATGTTTCGAAATGTTTTGATTCTTCGTTAATAAGTTAAGGAATAGTAAGGGACTAATTGCTGTTTTCATGTCGTGACACGTTGGATTGTGGTATTGTCTTCCAAATGGAAATTTTTAATCCGAACAGAATTTGGACTCTCCTAACTTTAACTTTGGTTGTGAATTACATTGCAATTTAGACAAAGGACTGACAATTTTAGGAATCTGATTTTTGGACTGACAATTGCTTGTCACTGATTAGTGCAATAATGTACTAGAACAATATGAAAGGTGGAGCTATTAGTTTTTTGTACCTTTTGTTGAGAATGAGTCTCTTGTTCTATAATTTTTTGTTTATCATGGGTCTTTTAAATTTCATTACTAGTGTTGCAATAGACTTGTAATGTATTTTTGAAAGCTACCATTGTGCTTTGTAGGAATTTCAAACCATTAAACGAGCATCATCTAGGAAATATATGGGAGAGGGCCAACCTTTTCCACCGATATCCTCGGATAAACAAAAAGTCATTGACGCATCTCACATATTTAAGCAGCCACATCGAGCAACCCGCCCTGATCATATTGTGATAATTCTTCGGGGGCTTCCAGGTAGCTTATTTTAATCTATGCATCTTTGTTAATTGTTCCTCTTTGCATGATTTTGATGGGATAATGTTGAACTTTATTTAAGCTTCTTGTTATTTTTACCTGTCATTTTGTTTTGAATTACTTTTTCTTTATTGAGTACTCATCATACTTATGTTGTATTGCACATCATTAATTCTACTTGATATATGAGAAAATGTAGAATATTTTGATATCTGCTTATGGTTATCGTGTTGTGTAGCTTGTAGGCCACCAATGAGCACCACTGTATGAATCATGAGTACAGGAATTGAAACCAACCTCATTATGAGTATAGCAAAATTTCTTGGTATATTTCTTGGAGAGCAACTAAAGCAGAAGAAATATTCCTCAATTCATTGGATCTTTAGATTTTACTTTTCAAGGGGAAGGAAATGTGAAATTTCATTTGACTTGGATAACCATAAAAATTCTTGTGTTTGGTGCACTTCTTTTATATTATATATGTAGAGATTCGTAACATGCAATATATTTATCAAAAATAAAAAATAAAAAAATGCAATACTGTATATGAGCATTTGGTCTTCCATAGAAAATGGAATCTGATTTTGTAAAATGAATGATTGTGTAACTGGTTTACAATTACAACGTTTTGGAGAGTTAAAAGTGGGATTATTCTTTCAGGTAGCGGAAAGAGTTACTTAGCAAAGATGTTGCGTGATCTTGAGGTTGAAAATGGGGCTGATGCACCTAGAATTCATTCCATGGATGATTATTTCATGGTTGAAGTTGAAAAGGTTGGTCCTCAACTTTTATTATTGACTTATTACTCATGCTGGCTATGCTAGATTTATCCTCCTTCTCATCATTGTACTGCCCTTCCCTGTCTGTCATTTACTTTCTGAGACTTTTAATCCAAGTGGAGTTGAGAAAAGTATTAGATATCTGAATTAAGTATTGTTTTCTACTCCATAGGTTGAGGAGAGTGATGTTTCAAAGTCGTCAGCTTTTGTCAGGGGGAAGAAACCAATTATGAAGAAAGTCATGGAGTACTGTTTTGAACCTGAGATGGAGGAGGTTATCCAACACATCTTAAAGTCTTAGAGATTTAATTGTTTGATATATTGTCCATAGCTTATACCTGTGTGTGCATGTGCTTATTTATTTATTTATTCTTATTTTTTGAAGGCTGATGATTTTTAATTTTAATTTTTTTTTAAACTGTTGTAGAAGAAAATGACAATACTGGTCATTGGGTTAGCCTTATAGCTGAAAACCTTCGACATTCTTTTGCTTGAAATTGAGCTAGCTTGTGCAATCTAATAATGTAACTGGATTTTATCTTGAGTGGTTGATAGAAAACATGCAGTCCTTTTCACATTTCATGAGTTCATTGACTGCTGAATTTTTGCTTGAATGATGTAAATGAGTTTTCTTGAAAACTAGTAAAAGGGACTTGGGAATTTTTCAAGTTGAGTTGGTCTGAGCTTGGCTTCATCTAATTTGAACATTTTTGCAGTATACTTTGATAAAAAGACATTGCATCTTTGACTTTAAATGTCAACTAATTTTAAAACTGGTGGATCTTTCACCAATCCGTATTCGGATATCTTTTCTTTTAAGAAATAAAGGAAATCTTCTACATGGCATGGTATATTTCCACCAAAAAGGAAATGTTTTAGCTAATGCTAGATGGTTTACCGTTAACTTCATTGATAAAGTTACCATCAGAAAAATGTCTTTCATGCAGCAGAAATTTCGATTTAGATATTTTAATGGATTTTGCTACATATTAAAAAGAAAAAAGAAAAAAAAAGTGAACATAATACTTGTTAAAAAATCAAAATTTACTGCATGTGGCATAAAGTATTAGGTTGGCTTTCTAGCTTCCTTCATATATTCAAAATTGTGTGAACAGTTTTTTTAAAAAAATACTTATTGATTAATCAGGGAAGTTTTCTCTGGGTCGTATTTTAATTTTAGCTCATGATTATACAGTTTGCTGACTTTATTAAACTGGCACTGTCCCTTGGTCCATGGACATGGAAAGCAAATATCCATCCATATATTTGACAATACTGATCTTGTTCCTCGGTGAAGTGCCCTGTTCCTCTTCTATAGTGAGAAACTATTTGGTGTTGCAAAACTTTTATGAAAGTTAAGAATGGCTCCATTTGTTTTATCACTTTATGTAATATGCAATATCTTATGGTAAATATCTCATGTTTGGAAGTTACTGTGCGTGAAATTTAAAATTGGAAATTCAAGTTGCCTCAATAGTTATACTGCCTTACATACTTGCAAGATACCAAATAGTAGATAATGGACAATATTAATGTGTCATGGACTCATAGTTAATAATATAATCTTTTTTCATGAAAAAAAGTGCATGTTTTGTCTGCAAGATGAGATATCTTAGTAGCTTCTATTTACATCTGCTGTGTATAGTGGCTGATATTCATGGAGGTGTTTTGGTTCTACTTCGTAATCCTATCAAGGTTCTCAAATGACCTATATAAATTTGCACAATCCTTTTTAGTATGCCAACTACATTCATCTTTTTGACTTTCTTGTTAGTCACAACTTCTTGTTATGTACTGCCCTTCATATGATATGTGGCTTTCATTGTTAGTTTCCTATGTTGAAATTTTATCTCTACAACAGGCTTATCGGTCAAGCATGTTGAAGGCCTTTAAAAAGACCCTTGATGACAACATTTTCTCCTTTGTAATTGGTAAGGATTTTCTGTGGTGAAATTGGCATATTATTTGAAAAGTAGAAGCTTTATATTAGTTCTTTAAGTGTTTGTATTTCTTTGTTTTAATTTCCCCTTAATTTTCTAGTTGTTTGCAAGGTTGTTGGTACTGGTATTGTCAAGATCTTCATTTCTTTTGAGATTGAATCGCTTACATTTTTTTAAATTTATATTTTACAATACATTAATTGACATGAATTTTCTTTTTGCTTGGATGAGCTTGGGCATTAATTATTTATTCATTTCTTCAACTTGGTGATGTTTGTATCTCTTAGAGCTTGTTTGTGTTGGTATGTTTGTTTAGTTTGGGAAAAGAATGGCTTTAACTTTTAACTTTCCTTCTAAGTTTTTAAGCCTAAGGCATTAATAGACAATTTGAAGAAATTATTCTAGATTATGTTGGCTTGTCATGGTGTACAAGCTCAAAGATCTAGTTTGATTATAGATTAAGAGGTGATGCAGTGCTTATGCACTGTCTTCATTTTCACTAACCACGGATGCAGTTTTGTTCGGCAATTGACTCATTTGTTGCTGGTATGTGTGCCTCGTCTTAGTGGATGACCGCAATCTGCGGGTAGCTGATTTTGCTCAGTATTGGGCAACTGCAAAGGTATACCCTCAATTCTCTCCATCTCCCAACCTCTGCGAGTATTTCTGTTCTCATTATCCTGTTTTCTGGGGATTTAAAGGTCTGAGGGTTCTCATCCTTGTATGTAGATTTCCTTTAGTTGGACATATTATTTTACTTGTTCAGTTGGTGGTGGCCTTGAAGATCATTATTGGCTGATTTTTCTTGTATAGGAAAAGAATTGCACATTCATATTGTTGATGCAGTTTCTTTTTAATATTGTCAATCTTGTTCCTACATGGCGGTGGACGGATCAATAGTGCTGTGTAGGGTGCTTAACTTGCAGAGCTACTGTTTTAAGATTTTAACTTTTCACTTTGGGAAAATATCATTTCAGTGATAAGTAACAAAAATAATATCAGTTTGATGGAAAACTTTATAGGTTTATCTTTTAATGTTGCAAAGTTTTTCATTAAGATGAAAATATTTTTTAGAAGTTCCATTGAAATGATATTTCCCCTTTCTCTTTTCCCAATTTTTTACTTATGTTATTTCTTGGTGTGGTCAGTAATTAACTCTTCCACCTGGTTCCATGAACTCTAGTTTGGATAGAAATCTTGATTTTGAAGCCTGTGTCTACACACTATTTCTCTATTTTGACTAGTGCCTGTTTCAATAAGAAAGATACTTTGTGAATCCTTGATCTCTTTTTATTTTTATTTTTTGAATGAGTTCACTGCTGCACATTAAATGCTGCTTCCTTGTCAGAAGCTTATAGTGCAAGCTATAACAAAATCTCCGAACTGCTACTCTTATACTTTTTAAGTGTTATTTGTTAATGACATATAAAGAAATTGATATGGTTCCTTGGATTGACTATGAGTTTACGCTGCTTTAATGTTTATTATACACCATGTTGTGGACTTCTGCCCAAATGAATGGACGAAGGGAAGGCTTTGTTTGCTCATTTTTGGACAAAAAAAGTGAAAGCATATGTGGGTGCCAATTGGTATTGTCTGGTGATGGTGGCCTTGTTATAGATTTTCTTACGTTGTTTGTTTTTTGTTTGTTTGTCTGGTTTGGTTTGGTTAGCTGAATAGGCTGAAGATGGCTTAAAATGTATCGGTATTTGTTTGGTTGCTTGAGTAGAATCTTTACTGCAAGTGCTTCCTCAATTTGTTGCTCAAGCTTTCATCTGAATTTTAATATTTGAAAAAATTGCAAATTTATCAAACCAACAATAAAGTATACTCCAGTCCTCTACCCCAAATCATCTTTATAATTTAAATTCGATGCAATATATGAATTCAAGAATTTTGAGCTTTATGTACAACTGTAAATTTGGTCTCATTCAAAATAACTAGATTGTATGGATTTTGTAAACACATAATAAATCTTTCTACGAAGCTTGTTTGTTCATATGCGCATTTTAAGACCTATTCAACCAATTTGCTTATGTCTGGACCAAAATGACCAGATTTTATTGGGGTGCTGTGAATAGATAATAAACCATTCCAGAGCAAACTTATTTGTTCAGATTTACTTTTGAGACCTCTTCAACTAATTTGCCTGTATTGGAATCTGTGTCTTTTTACTAACCTTTTGTTACTGCCAATGCGCCTGGTACTAGTACTGTTTGTACTGTTGCTTTTATAACGATGTTTCAACTATAAAGTGCTTGTTTGAGATGTGATTGTTTGTTATTTGCTTTGCTCATTGTTTGTTGCTTACATTTCAGAGATCGGGCTATGAAGTGTACCTATTAGAAGCTACCTACAAGGATCCAGCGGTGAGTATCTATCATGTACTAGTACTTTGATTATTATATTATAATTCATGCTGATTAGGATTTGGAAGGCCTAAAATGTTCAAATTTTGATTTTACTTGCACTAATGGTAATTGTTTTTACCTGTGTAATAATAGAAATTGGACCGAAATTTCTCTTCCCAAATCAGAAATTCACATTTTATTTTTTTGTGGAATTTCAGGGTTGTGCAGCTCGGAATGTGCATGGTTTCACCCAGGATGACATACAAAAGATGGCGAGACAATGGGAAGAAGCTCCATCCTTGTACTTAAAATTAGACGTCAAGGTTTGTTGAATTGGGTTTCAGATTTTGTTCTGGTCACAAATACTGAAAGTTCTTATACGTAAAAAACCTATGGGTATGGGTTGTGTTAAACTTAAAAAAAAAAAAAAAGAACGAATTATGAGAGACTGATAAGAACCACGGATAAGAATAAGAACCACATATACGGACAGGACACGGAAGATGGATATGACGTGATATAGACATGTCAATACAACAATTTTTAAAATATCACGACATGACACAGTGAGGACACAAGAACTTACATATATACATGAGATTAATAACAATTTTTTCATTTTAAAATTAACAATAGATATTTTATGGGCGAATTATACTAACAGTCCCTACAGTTTGGGGCTTGTGTTACTTTGGTCTCTGACTTTTCAATTGTAATACATTTGACCCTGAATTTTGAATTGTGTTCCAAATAAGGACGATCAAAGATGTTTCCTTTGCAAACGGTCCATTTCAAGAGTAAAGTCGTCATACAACTTATTTTGTGTTGGTTAACTTGTATGCTATTTGAATTGTAATGGCCTTTTTTTTAATGAACGTTGGAATTTTCTTGGTTATGAGGTTATATTTGGTTAGGGTTTCAAAATCTATTTTCAGAAAATTTTTCTAAGAAACTAAAAATTAAATTGGTGAAAAAAAAATTAAAAATACATCATTTTTATGTAATTTTATCTTTCGGGAGAGTAGAAATAATATTTTTTTATATTTTTTTTTATATTTATTTTTATTAAATTAGTTTCTATTTTTTCAAAAGTCAAATATGGTGACAATTTGATGTCATTATTAAACCAATCCATTAAAACAAATAATCTAAAACTAAAAACATTTCATATATTAAACATATCGATTGCACATTAAAAGCCTAATAACCATCCATTACATAATAACTATCCAAAAATATCTGTTAACGATAAATTCAACCATCTATTACATGATAACCCTCCAAAAACATCAACAAAAACAATCATCCATCATGTGATCATCATTCAAACCCATACTAAAAAATAATTTGGTAAAAAAAATTTTAAAAAAAATATAAAAGATTTATCATTTTTATATAATTTTATTTTTGGTGGGTAGAAATAATTTTTAAAAATTCAAAAATAATTTTTTTGATATTTATTTTTGTCAAACTAGTTTATGTTTCTATCAAATTGATGATTTTGCCTTTGAAATAGAGCAATAGTGTGTTCAATTGTCCTTACTTGGAACGAGATTCAAAATTCAGGATCAAATGTGTCACAATTGAAAAGTTAAGGACCAAAATGACAAAAGTCCCAAACTATAGGGATCGTTAGTGTAATTCGTTCATATTTTATTATGGGTCATGCTAATGACAACCCAATCAATTGTCAATAAGGGGAGGAAAATGCCAAAAAATTAAGTATTTCAAGGGACGTTTTACACTTCCCAATGAACATTCACATGTTCCTATTTACTTTTCACCTAGGAAGCATGGGCACTCGAAAATGGGTGTCATGCTTGTGTTTGACACACATTGGATACTGACGCAGCACAAACACATGTCCACATGGCTGACATGCCATGTAGGGGTATCAATTTTTTAATTATTATTTTTTTGTAGGACACTTAGGGAATGTTTTATGAACATGTGTGTCCAGTGTTTCGATATGCCTAATGATAGTGTTGTGTTTAAATATATATATATATATATATATAATTATGATTCATGGTCAAAGTAACACATATGCATCAATGTCTCTCATATCTCTATATCCTAAATTTATATTTCTATAAGTAGAAAATAAAAATATTAAAAAAATATTCTTTTTTACCATATCGCCGACGTGTCTGTATCCTTTTTCTTTTGCTTTTTTTTTTTCCCGAAAATTGCTATCCTATGTCATTGCTCTTAGCTTTTCACACATTTCAATATACCTTTTTGCACATCCACTGAGATGAATGACAGCCCAATGGGCAATAATTAGAAATTTCTTTTTATTATATCAAAATATTAAGAAATCACTTTCTAAATTGTATATATTGAAAAAGATCTGTGAACCAAAAAATTCAAATATTTATTTTAGAAGGTTTATTTCTAAATAAGTTGGAAATTTAATAGGTATACATTCACATTGTCTGGGTTTAATCATTAGTTCCCAAGTTATTTCTTCAAATTTGCTATGTGTTTATTGGATGTCCAACTAATGGACATGGATGTCCCTCAAGTGTTCGAAGCATGTTTAGTTCTAAAGTTTAGAAAATAAAAAAATAAAAACTAGCATGATTGGTTGGACATGTGTTGGGAGCTATGAAGTATTGATATGGATACGGGATATGCCGAAATCGGTACGAAACAATAAAAATGCGTTAATACAAAAATTTCTAAGTAAGATATGGATGCATTGAGGATTAGCGATAAGTGTATATTTATATCATGTATATATATAAAAATAAATAAGTAATTTTATATCCATATATTATAACAAATTATTTATCTTTAATTAATTATCTATCAAATATTCTCCATTTCAATTTTATTATAACAAATTTTGTTATGTTATGTGCAAGCTTTGACCAAATTTGACATGTTTTAAACTCACAATTTCCCAATTTTTCTGTATACAACATATTGAAAACTATTCTTTCATTTATTCTAACAATTATACTCTAATGCTACACAAGAAATACTACATCTTAATTTCAAGATGGGTTGGATATGTAGAGTATCTAGAAAGTATTCTTCAATACTTACTCAACACTAAACTTAATAAAATAAAAAAAAAGTACTAAAAGTTTAAAGAAAATTAATTTATAATTGTGGATATGTTTAGGATGTATCAGATATGTATATGCGAGTATCCGATGAGTATCAATGTTCGATATGGTTACTACACGGATACAACCTCTTTGTCAAAGTATCCGTGCTTCATAAGTTGGAAGTGTCAAATGAGTGTTAGTGTTTGACATTGACATAGTACCTTTGAAGTGTCCGTGTTTCTTAGATAAGAAAAAGTGAAGTGATTTGTGGCAGTTTATGTTTCCTTAAAAAGTTTAAAACCTTGCTTTGACATATATTGACATATTTGTTTCGTTTTATGTGCAATTTTTGCTGGCATGGCAGTCATTGTTCCACGGAGAGGATTTGAAGGAAAGCGGGATTCAAGAGGTAATTTTATAGATTATATACCAGTTGAATGCTTTTGTGAGTTACCTAGACTAAGAAAGTGCTTTTGAAGTTACTTTAATTTCGTACTTGAATAATTAAAACATGGTGTAGTTTTGATTCTTGTTGGTCCGTGTTTCTTAGATAAGAAAAAGTGAAGTGATTTGTGGCAGTTTATGTTTCCTTATAAAGTTTAAAACCTTGCTTTGGCATATATTGACATATTTGTTTTGTTTTATGTGCAATTTTTGCTGGCATGGCAGTCATTGTTCCACGGAGAGGATTTGAAGGAAAGCGGGATTCAAGAGGTAATTTTATAGAATATATACCAGTTGAATGCTTTTGTGAGTTACCTAGACTAAGAAAGTGCTTTTGAAGTTACTTTAATTTCGTACTTGAATAGTTAAAACATGATGTAGTTTTGATTCTTGTTGAGGAAAAGATTATAGCTGTTGTGGTTCTCTATAAATAACGCCCCCTCAATCCCCAAGTTTGTGGTGGGACATTATTGGGTTGGTATATTGTTGGCCTCAGACTACACTCTGTCTGATGCCTCCAAGGTGAGGTCTGATGTAGATATCTTGAAGCACAATCCAATGCCTGATTATCATTTTACATTATATGTCTAGTTTTTTATCCTGCATATTTTGTCTTTTTAGTTGACATCTTCCTTAGAAGAGGATGCATAGAAGTTGTTGGGTAAACTATATTAAGGGATGTTGTCTAAAACTTTCAATGAGTCTGTGAGGTTATGTGTCTTTGATGGGCAATGATCAGCTGCCACTTAAATCTATGTCATCTTAGAAGGGGGTTTGAATTTGACTAATCACTAAATGCTTAATACACCTAATGAAACTGATTTTATATTAAATCTTAACAAAAAAATTTAATCCTTAGATTTTCAATTTCTATTAGCTATCAAAAGTTTCCCGTTTAATTTTGAATTATGCCAAACAAACCCTTTCTCTCCTCTTTTAAAGCTATGGCTATGTTATCTCCTTGATATGATTTTCTATGAATTAATTTGATTCACCAGATCCTTGTTCTTCATTTATAGAATTAAGATGAGTCTTTTGCACAATTATCATTTTTGGTGTAAATGATATTTTTTTTTTTTCATTTTTTTTTTATTGTTATTTCTGTGATCCTCCTTTCTTCTTGTAGATTTCACTGTTGAGCTCAACCTCAGTGTTGTCAGCAAACCTCAGGAGGCGATTAGTATTTTAGGCAAATCTCAGGGGCAATTACAATCACCCTTTACTTTTCCTAATAATATACAAGAACACCCCTTATGGTAACTAAACATTAAAAAAAAACATAACTAAAGATGGTGTTGTCTGCAATTTGGTATTTTAAAATATAAAACAATGCTCTTATTACATATAACTTATAAGATATGAAAAAAAAGAGTCCCAATTAATACACATTTTTGTGTCTTTGGGGTGCACAAAGTGATTGCTCCGAGATTTAACCCATAACCTCAAGGTTATTAGGCCAATGTTATATAACTTATAAGATATAAGAATGCCCTCAATTAGATAAAAATGACAAGACAATTATGTCTTTAATAATAAAATGTAACATCCTAAGTACAATTTAAAATTTATTAGGTTCGCATAAAAAATAAAAATTAAGTTGTGTATGCATCTTAATTCATATCCTCATAAAAAAATCAAATAAAAATATGGTAATAATATACAAATGTATCACACTTTATCAAACCAACAAGAAAAAAGGGGCTAAATTTAGGAGATGTGATAGACCAAAATTAATGACCAATACTATTATCAGGTAGTTTTTGTTTTTGCTAAATAAAATATAAAACATTTGATTCTAAGTTGTCGTATGTTGCTTGGGCAAACACCAGATTAACTTCACATTAGGCAGCCTGATAAATTTATTGAGATTCTCTTTATGTTATTTGATCAGATGCATATGTATCTTGGATAGAGGTTAAGTTTTAATGCCCGTCAATCGACAACCTTGACAAGGGATGTTAGTGTAATTTTTGGTTTGGTTCAGGGTTACCCTGTATTTGTTAGAAACCTCAGGGGGTGTCAATGTAATTTATTTTAATAATTATCTTCAAAATTCTTGCTGCTCATATGTTTGAGTGAGACACTATGGGTAAAATTCTACATTGGGCAGACTTTTCTCTGTTTCTTCCCCACATAGTTAATTATTAACATGAATAGGTTGTCGTAATTTTTACTACTCTAAATTGAAGCTCATTAATTATATTATTCATGTCAGTTTCACCATTTTTTTTGGGACCAAATTTATGGGGGGGTAACCTGTGATTATCATACATTCCGCATCTACATATGTTTAACACAGGAAGTGGCATTTTGATTATGGTGGTATCTTTGCAATGTTTGACCAAATTGACATTGCTATCGTGAGTAGTGAAAGTAATGAGATAAGTAGGAACTCTATAGCTGAATTCACACTTCAGTTTGTAATGAAGAGGCAAGATACACTTTGTTCTTGTGGACATTGTCAGAGTAATAAAAGCAGTGTCTTGTCTTGTTATTATTGTCTAAACTGGTGTTAGATGTGGACATGTTTTTCATGCTATGATTCCAGCAGACCATCAATATGGGGAAGTGTCTCTTATCCAGTGGAAATATTTAAACTACTGAAAAGAGAAGACTAGAGTGTACTATGAATGGGAGGAAACAGAGAACAGAAATAAAATTATTAATTTCTTCCTCGAGAATTTCTTATTATGCATTTACCAAGTTAATGATGTCTAATTTTAATCTAACAGTAGTTTGTAACTTTTTTTTTAACCCCTTGGAGTACATAATTTTTGTAGATGTTATTACTAGTCTGTTGGTTTCTCATGTCAAATCTTTCAGGTAGATATGGATATAGAAGATGGAGATGCTGCAGGTACCTTATCTGGATCAGAAGAAAGGAGTCAGATCACAGTACCTCTAAGAGATTTTTCACCTGATGGTATGTTTTAAGCAAACTGTATTTAACACTATATATATATATATATTTTTTTTTTTGCCTTTTAATTGGTTATTTTCTATTTTTATGAAAGACCGTGTCAGTCAGTGGTAAGTTTAACAAAGAAGCAATGTTTCAAAACATAAGACAATAGCCATGGTATGATGGTGTCTGACAACTGCTCTATCTTGGAAACCTATGGTAGGTCAGCCAGATGCTAGGTGATCATTTGCCATGGTAGCAGATGTTTCAGCATCAATTCACACTTTATGTTATGTTATGTTATTTTTGATAATTTTTGTTAGAATAATGCTATATGTACTAAATAGTGTACCAATTGATGATGTGGCATAATTTAAAAGGTTTTTGAGATTTGTAATGTGATTAATGAGTGGGGTCAATAATAATGTCATAACTAGTGTTGGTACACTAATTGGTGCATGTAGCACCATCATTTTTGTTATAGTGCATGGGTATGGCTGATATTACATAACAGCACACAGATACTAACAATGGGGTCTATGATCACAATTTAAAACCATACTCTATCCCACTGAGTCTTGAACAGGTTTGGCCTTGCAAGTTGAACCCAATGAGTGATCAAGATAAGGAAAACACATGGTTGTATGCCTTCTCAATGTCCAGCCATAAATATCCCAGACATTTTATCTTAAATGCTAGAATCCACATACTTATCAGCCACTAGAGCCATTTACAAAGTTTGGTTGTCTTCAATGGACTCATTTTGAGAATCTGTTACTGTATCACCCTCTGCCTGTGTCCCTGATCTTAAAGCTAGCATTTGGACCGATGTTTTTTAAACAAATCCCATCAAACTACTTGGAATGAAGTCCCTGGTATCTCCTGCTCCACCTTTTGCAATATGAGTGCTGTTTAAGAAGTGTTTAAAACTCCTATCAGGCTCCTCCTCCTCAAAGATCCTGGCTTGCAGAGAACAATAACATTGCCATAATAAATGAAAATTATCGCAGAGTGAACAGTTGGAGCGTTATTGCCCATGGGGCTTTACTTGTTTGTGTATTCCCACATTGACAGGATTATACGTCCAATAGATGTGTGAGAAGGCATTAGGAAATACATGCTGAGGGCTGTAGTTCCTTGTGATTTATTTTGGCTTCTTTAGATGCTTGTTGCCTTTTTTTGTGTTGTATCTTGTTTGGTGGTTGTGTCCTGGGATTGCAAAATTCCACCTTTGGTGGCTATGGTAGTTTGGTACTATTATAGTTATTAGACAGAAAACATAAATAAAAAAGCTTGGTACAATTTTATGAACATTGAACATACTAGCATTATGTTTTGCGTACTTTTGGAAAACAGTTTAGCCATGTGGTACAACTACTTAATAATACATGTGAAAAGAATTTGTTTTCAAGTTTCAACATTTTTGTAGCACGCATTGTTGATTATTTCTTACGTCATTCAAATTTGGCATCTGGGACAAATTTTATCCCATTTTCATCATCCTTTAAATATTTAGGCTCTTCGAAAGAAGAGAAAAAATGGGATGCTGAAGGATACCATCCAAGGGAAGAAGTGAAGGAATTGGGCAGGAGTAAATGGTCAGATGGTTTAGATGATGATATCACCAAAAGATCTGAAGCTAATAAAGGGAATTTAAATGCTCTTTCTGGGCTAATTAAGGCTTACACCAAGGAAGTTAAATCCGTACATTGGGGTGACCAGGTATGTGTTGCATATCGTATTTTTATTTTGTTATTAAACACATTCATACAAGTATTCTTCTTGTGTTATTGGTCAAACCACATTCAAAATTGCTCTCCATGGTGTTCTTTTATTTATTTATTTATTTTTGTTTTTATTTGGTGTGGTATTGTATATTTTTAAAGTTTCCATATTGATTGACATTTCAGGTTAAGTTATTATCATTATTATTTTCCTTTTTGTTGCAGCAATATGGATTAAGGGTAGTAAATTAAGATGTATGCTAGTAAATCTGTCAAATAAAAAATAAAAATTGCCAATAAACTCAATATTTGTTTTCATTCACCATTATGGGGAAAGGATACTGCACAGTGCAAAGTTGTTTAAAAGGTAATCGATATACATCAATGAAAATTTTCTAACTTCTGTAATATCTACCATACTTTAGAAGAGAAGAAGGCAAGACTGGAAAGGGTTGATTGCTTGATTGGTAACTTTATGCGATGAAGCAACAGTTCAGCTTTTAGTGAACATTTTGAGGGGAAGAGATGAAAAAGGCAAATTCTAATTTTTTTTAGTATTTTTTTTGTTTTTTGTTTTTTGTTAATCAGAAAACTTTTAGGCCTTGGAACTAGTGTTTTTTTTTTTAAACATAGGGGAAGCCATTTACAAATGCAAAATTTCTACATTTATCGGTTGATTCTCAAGGAGTTCTTGCATCCAAAGGCCTTTACCTTGTGGTTAGTCTTTATGAGATTGTGACCTAGTTTCTTTCAATCAAGCTATAGGGCTCCCTTTCCAGCAAAAATGTAAAAATAAAAAAATCTCTCAAACCACAGATTATTATTTATTTAAAAATTATATATATATATATGTATATATATATCATCACAGGTTCTCAATCTCAAGGAGCTTTTGTTTGAGAAAGATATTCAGTCTTCATTGCAAACGAGTTTGTGATGTAGAGGAGACTTGTATTCTTAATGTTCTTACCAAAAAAATAAAAAACGGAGCAGCTGTAATTGAAGTGTGGGATAATATGGATTTGGGGATGCTTGTCATCTTGAGTGATGAGTCCCTGAAGGATATTGATAAGCTTTTTGTTTAATGGGAATTTAAAGCTCACTAAGGCATTAAACATGCCACTTGGGTTGGGTTGCACACATCTGAAGGGTGTGTGAAGAGTAGCTTGATACTGGGTTGGGATTCTTTCAATGTTTGCACCCAAAAGATGTATGATAATTGACCGGCCTGTTAATGGATTAGCTTGTCTAATTTCTTTGAAGGCTGTATGATAGTTTTTGATAGTTTGATTTTGTTCTGTGCCAATCGTTTGCCTATGATGTTTCCTTGTTTCTGCCTTTTGCAATGAAACATGCTCTGCTTTTGGAATGCCTACCACTTTCTGTACCTCATGTCTTTGCTGCTTGCATTTTCTTTTATTTTGCAGGTTGGCAATACTGGCTTCTCCATAGGTGCAGTAAGAAAGGTTAATGTATCCTTGGTGATTGGGCCTGGTGCTGGCTACAACTTTGTGAGTACTCACCTACTCCAAGTGGCATGATTTAATTTTTAAAAAATATTTTTTCAGTCGAGTGTGATGGGGGAAGGTTCACTTTTTTAGTGAGTAGGTGTTTTATTTTGGTTTGGTGAATTTACTTCCTAGTATGCGTGCATTAATAACATAGCTTAATGTTCATGATTCTTGTCTCTCTAACAACTGACTTTTGTTTCCTATTGAACGGGGGAATATGTCTTGTGACCAAGTTATATTTTATTTGAACACTTGCAGATATCTAACCCCTTACCTGAAGATGGTGCTTCAACCCAGAATGCTGGTGAGTCAAAAAGGCAAAGCGTATTCCAAGAGAGAATTCGTGCAGAACACGAGTCTTTTAGAATTGTTTTTGACAAGAGGCGACGGCAAATTGGTGGGCTTGGCTTGGAGGAATGATACATTTAAGTTGCCCTTTGACTAAACACCCCCGATCCCTTACTCGTGCGATGCCATTGTAGTAGTTGTTTGTAGTATTATAGTCTGTGGAAGAAGAACGAGCAATTAGCTGTGTCATTGTAATTGTAAAAGCTTAATAAAGGCTGCCATTGAATGATAGAAAGTTGATGGGTTGTGCACTTGATCTTTTGATACACTGGTTTCAACACACATTGCTCGCAAATTGGGTTAGAGAGCAAAACAAAAATGATTTAAATTCTAGTGAAAGGCCTCTAAATGTTTTATTATTATTTACTGGATAAATCACGGGTTGATCGAATCGGTCCGGCTCCTTTTTTTTTTTTTCAGTTTTTCTTTTTTTTTTTCTTTCTTTCTTTCTTATTTTATATATATATATATATAATATAAAATATAAGAATATAAGAAAATTTTAATTTGAAACTTTTTTTTAAGGGTCTTCTCTTGTGAGGAATTCCATTAAGAGTTTTGATGAAATTATTGTGAAAGTCTTCACCTATTTATAAGAAAAAAATTCTTTCAAAAAGACTTAAGAAATTCATCTGGGATTCAATCAAATGTATTGGAGGGAATATTGAAATTTTGATATTCCTCCAAAATTTTTGCTCTCCTTTCAATTAAATTATTTGAATTAAAATCATATGGAGGGAATATTAAACATTTGATTTCATCTTTCAAAATTGAAATTAATAATATTTCAAAATATATTATTATATTTTTCAGTAAAAAAAATATTAAGACAAATATTTAAGATAATTTAATATTTTTAATATTTTTAATTTATAATTTTATTTCTTATATTTTTATTTAAATATAATTTTAATATATTTATTACGTCACGGTTCAATTCTGATTCAATCCGACGATTGAACCAGTGACCCGTCCACTCGATCTTTTTTCCGGTTCGTTCACCGGTCCGATTTTTAAAACATTGGTGGGTTGCCTTTTATAGGCAATCAGAACCCATGGTTAGGTACAAACATTGTTGTATTAATGCGGCTCGTTGCTTAATAAGCATTTTCACCGACAGAACTCTCTCTCTCTCTCTCTCTCTTGTGAGGCTGTGATTGCAGGGAGCTGCAATGCACGATTCATATGATCCAGAATCAATGAAGTGCACCATCTCTACCCCACCACTCTCTACTAGACATTATTCTTCACTCCATTTCTCTAATCAAGTATAGTATATCCTTATCTTTTTATTTCTTCTAATATGAAATTACAGCATATTATATTATTGTATAGTAGATATATATATTTGAGCCTGCCATTGGCATTTATGTTATTGGACTTGGAACAGAGACATCAATCTTGTTCACTCTCCATGAATGGTTGCCAAGCTGACCCTAGACCTGCTCCTCCCATTGGAACCATTGAAACCCGCACCTTTCCCGCCGTCTTGACACCTGCATTGGCCATGGACCGCCTTAACTCTGCCATCTCCGACATGAAATCCGAGCCGCCTCCTTTCCACTCCGGTATCATCCGCCTAGAGGTAACTCCAACTCACAACACCACACCACTCTTTCTATAATTCAGTATTAACAACTAAACTGATACGTTAGATGATAAGATAAGATTGTAGAAATAGATAATCATTATAGTATTACTCTTTCTTTAATTCAACTTTTTAAAATTTGATATAGCAAATCTTAATAAAGTAATAATTAATTAAAAGCTTAGTGAGAAATGTTTTTTAAGTTTTATTAGTGTTGAATTCATCAAGGAAGAGTAAAAAGGCCAAAGTGTGTTGGCCTCAAAATGTAATGTAGGAGAAGGAAGAATAAATGCCACGTGGTTGGTTCACAGACAATATCATCTTAGACCTTATCCTACAAAGAATATATATATTGAGTATTAATGAAGAATCTCTACCTTGTATATTTTTATTTTTTTGATTTTCTAAAATGTACCAATATCACTACTTCAAGCTATTCATTTCAAAAAAATAAAATAAAATAAAATACTCTTTTGGAGTTAATGTAAGAGTTGGAGATTTAATAATGTTTTTTATTTTGTTTTAATTGAGAATTATTTTGTGGCTTTTTAGGACTACATTTTTTTCAAAAGTCAAAATTAACAATTAGTAAAAATCAAACCAAACCAAAATCAAGTCTTAAGTCCCATCTAATGGGGTCAGCTATATGAATTTTTCTTCTCTACTCGACTCTATTAACGATCATTTGATTAGTAAAATTAAGGAGATTCATATCTCTATTTATTATACTAGCGCACGTCAATATAGGTTTGCCTTTTTCGCTAACACTTTCATCTACCGTCACTATATCGTATCTATTCACTACTGTCTCTGTTGGTTTTCGTTATATATGAGCAAACTATCATAATCTATTCTTTCTCAACTTATCTTTCATCGATACTATTCCTACCCATTCATGAATATACTCATTCCTAACTTTGTCTTTCTAAGAGCCTCCACAATGGATGTGTTAGTGGGTGTGCTAGTGTCAGTGGCCAAATTTTTAGCTAGCCACAGTCACTTTTGTCTTCATAATGGAAGTGTTAAGGGGTGTGTCATGTATTAGTGTCAGTTGTTAACTTGTGTGTTAACTGTGGCTAGCGTTTTAGCCACACAGAGAGAGAGGAAGAGAGAGAGGGGACGTGGGGAAGTGCAGCCAGGTCGTCTGGCCGGATGTCCGGACCCTTCAAGTAAAAATAAAAAATAAAAATTTGCAATTGACTGGTTGACCAGCCGGATGTCCAGTCATCTTCCTCTGCAACTTCTGCTAACTATTTATATATATATATATATATATTCTTAACACACCCCTTAAAGCACATTTTGACATATCCATTGTACCACCATCCACTCTCTAGAATTAACAAACTCTTAACACACCTTATGACACATTTTTGGGTCTCACTTTTATCACTTTTTGTCATATAACATACACTTTAACACACTTTTTTAGCTATCCTATTGCGGATGCTCTAATCTTTCCATATATCTACCTTAACGTTCTCATCTTAGCAACACTCATCTTATTTACATATTATTCCTTAGTTGTCAAATATTCTGCTTCATACAATATTGTTGGTCTAATAGCCATTCTATAGGACTTTTCTTTTAATTTAGTGGATACTTGTTTATTATGTAGTACCCTAAGCACATTCCTCCATTTAAGCCACCTCGCCTTAATTATATATACCACATCCGCTCCAATCTCCTCAGCCATTGTGATAATCGATTTTAAATAATGAAAATGCTCACTCTTAAGTAGTTCTTGATTCTCAATTTTCACTTCTCTTTTACTTCAATTGTTAATGTTATTAAAATTACATTACATTTCATGTACTCTATCTTAGGTAGTTCTTGATTCTCAATTTTCACTTCTCTTTTAGATTCAAGTGTTTCTCTCAAAATTTGAAAACATAATAAAAAGAAAGATAGTTCTAAACATGTACTTCTCTTTGGATTGCTTGTTATTTATTTATTATTATTATTATTATTATATTTAAAGTTTTTGGGTGTCAAAAGCATTCATTGGACACAAGAATGTCCCCTTTCGAAAAAGTATATGATAAAGAAATTTCAAGTGTTTCTCTCAAAATTTGAAAACATAATAAAAAGAAAGATAGTTCTAAACATGTACTTCTCTTTGGATTGCTTGTTATTTATTTATTATTATTATTATTATTATATTTAAAGTTTTTGGGTGTCAAAAGCATTCATTGGACACAAGAATGTCCTCTTTTGAAAAAGTATATGATAAAGAAATAGGTTTTTTTTTCAGTCCAATTTGTGAATTGGATCATACTGTTAGACTTGTGAAGTTTACCACGGGCCCCATTTTAATGATCCAAATCGTTCCATGTATAGAGTTCATTGAGTACTTCATCCCTACAAAACATCACGTTGATTGGATATCGATAGCTTCTTAATTGAACACATTTTTATCAATGCTAAATATGATTTTAAAAATAAATTATTAACAAAAATATGTTTCAATTAAGAGGTTGTCAATATTCGATCAACGTGATTTTTTGTAGAGATAAATTACTTTATGGGCTCTACACATTGGCGGTTCGGATCATTGAAACGAGACCCGTAGTGGGTCACATGGGCTCAACAGTACGGTCTAGTCCATAAAGTGGACTGAAGAAAGCCATCCTTAGGATAAATTACACTAAATTTCCTTAAATTACGATTCTTTTCATTCTTGTGAACTTTAAAACAGAATAGTTAAATCATTTTAAAATATTATTTTGTTATAGTTAACATTTTTTGTTAAACTTTTGTTAGAAATTTACACAAAATCAGATCATGTGTAAAGCGCATGACACATTTATTGAATTTTTAGAGTGATACTACATCTAGTTTGTACTTTGTCACTAAGATAAGGAAGACCGTGCAAATAAAATCACCAAATAAAAATATTATTGTCCTAAAAAAATTAATAATAGATATTATTATCTTAAAAAATCAAAAAATATGTCATAGGCTTCATATTGTAGAGGCGGCCTGAGAACTCCCCGGGATCCGCGCTGCGAAGGCGCGAAATCCGTTTTGTTCTCTAGCTACGACAGTTCGGACTCAATGTCACGATTCTAAATCTAATCTTGCAAAGTGTAATGCAAGACTGATAAATCACCAAAGAGTCCAAGTCCGACAAATCGTTTCGGAAAAAACTGATTTTTATAAAGAAGTGCCAAACATGGACTGCTGTGCCAGATACAGAGTTGCCATCTAAATATTTTATTTTGGGAAAATTTAAGAAACCCTGACTCGTGCCTAAGGCCACGTGTCCGTCATCACCAAAGTTGCCTCGGCTCGGGAACTTGGGTACGAGAGGGGAAGGTCATGCAATGAGCACCCCCGCTCACCCGATCAAAAGATCGGCCTTTACTAAGCATGATATTTTGTTTTTGAAAACAAATGTGTTCTTATTTCGGTTATTAACCTAGAATTACTATGTGATGTGTACAGCATACAAGTATAGACTAGATCGCCTAAGTTGGAACAAGCATTGCATGTTCGTTGTGAAAATGATTTGAAGTTTGCTACTCGCAAGTAGGCTAAGACGAGGATTTTGATGAATTGTTCCAATTTAAGCAATCCAACCTTCACCCACAGGCATTCAGGCAGTTATATCAAATAAGCAGTTAGCCTCATGGCAGGCATGCTAACATGGCAACATACACATCTCATGCAGTATGCTAAAGCGTAAACACTCACAGTGTACTCCGAGCCAAAACAGAGAACTAGTTAGAAATCATGCATGATCCTAATTCATGTTAAGATGGCTAATGCAACACATGCGAAAATGCAATTAAGATAGGCTCGGCTATCCTAGGATGTCATGTGAAATGCAACTTGGTACATGTATTCAAATTGGAATTGAAATACAATGCAGATAGTATGATGCGCCGAGCCCGGTGCATGCAATACAGATGAATGGATGCACGCATGCAAGCATAAGGTATGCTAATCGAAATATGCCTTAAAACTAACCATTGTAAGTGGTTAAGTACAAGAGAGAAAGAAATGAGGGTTGGAAGACATGCATTACACACACGCACGCTTATTACAACAATTGACCCTCTTGACGGAAGGTCCGAATAAGAAGCTAACTAGCTAATCTAAGCTAATTAAACTAATTATTACATTACAAACTAATTAACTAACAAGCTAATTAATTAAGCTATTACAACACAAATTGAATAGTTAAACGCATTAACTAATTAGGTACAAAACCAAAGCATAAACTAGTTAAGCAAATTAGCTAAGTAAAGCGATAAATCAATGTCCTCAGAAGGAGAAGAATGCACACATGCTCGGTCGCCTCGTTCGGAAATCCGTCGCAATGCCCTAACTTGCTTCTGTTTGCAATTGTTCTCAGATCCTTGCACCAAGCTCCAGAAAGCTTCTAACTCACCTTGGGGACCTGTGGAAGGGTGGCCAACCAGTTGTTGAAGTGGGAGACCACTTGCCGACCGCTTTTTGTTGCTGCAGACCAGAAAAAGTGGTCGGCCAGCTAGTTTTTCTGGCTGGCCGGCCAGTTTTTGCTGCACTTCTCCAGTTTGCTGCAACAGAGAGCAAGAAAGGGTATGGCAATGTATTTGCAAGATATGTGTGCACAACCACCCTCCCTATCATGTCATGAACACAAGGGAGTGTAGGTTCTCGACCCTTGAACCACTAATCGTGCATTTTAATGCATGATGGCCGAGAGGTGAAGTTGCACAATTCAATATGAAATGAATGCACAAGTAAACACATAAAGCCTAAAACTCTATCATGTATCATCAAGAGTGTCGGCAACCGGGAATTAAGGCACGTTTCATCACTTCAAGTATGAAACGTCTCTCGTTTCTCTTGCTTGGATTAACACTTAATCCAGACAAAATGCAACAAATAACAGGGCATATACAATGCAATGCAACATAGAGCATGCAAACATGCAATGCAACTCAAGCATGCAAACATGCAATGCAAGGGACAAGTATGCAACAACATGCAATGTAACATGGCATACT